AAATATATGTAGCAGCCTTATTTCCCCTGACATTGGTAGATAGGATAGCACTGATCAGCTCGATTTTATACTCCCTTTATTGAAATTTGTGTTTTTATGTACACTGTATAACTATTATACGTTTTTTTTCGAAAAATATTTGTGTTTATGCAAAGATTATCGCTAAGACTTTCGCTACCGCCTCACTTGGCCCTTTTTCGCTGCATCTTACTCCGCAGCACTGTAAATACTGACCAGCACTGGCAAACGTCTATTTTTATTTTTATTTTTTCTGTACTCTCTTCTCCATAATTTTGCCCATTTGACGTGTTATGCCTCAATTTTCGACAGTACTTCACTTCGTGGCTCTTTGGAAGAATCTGAATCGGAAAATTGAGAATTCGAAAGCTTTATTTCTTCGTCAACTTATTTCTCCTCTCGAAAATGTAAAAATTTTATTTTCTTTTTCCCTATTTTTCTCTAAGTTGTTCCTTGCTTTTGTTGTTTATATTTAAAGTAATTTCCACGTAGGTTCCCTTTTCTCGCCTTCGCTAGATTAATTTATTTTCTATTCCCTTTGTGCAAATAATTTCCTTTTGTTATGCTTATGAACTTTGGTATCTTTCACAACTTGAGACATCATTGATACTCAGCATTTCTGGTATAGATTCAAAACTGGTATAAATTGTGTATCGATAAGAAATTTTTTTTCTTGCTTAGAATTTTGGTTTAATTATAAAAGAACGTTGAGTGATTTGTTAATTATTGTTTCACCGCATGAAGCGTGTGAATGAACGTGCAACACACTTGAAATATTTTGGGTATTGCATCGATGAAATATAAATTTAATACAAAATCCTAAGGTTATGTTAAACTGTTATTTTTGTTAGCTTTTATTGCCTCGGGTAATAAAATCCGGTTAGCGCCTTTTTTGCTTTAGATGTGGGCGGTTTCATTAAGCCAAGATTAAAATGTAAATGGGGAACGTTGAAAGTTTCCATTTCTCCACACATTCCCGCTCAGACGGGCATCGCTCTCTTCCTATATACGAGGCCCGGTCAATCACATTTTATTGGTAGTAAAAGCTGAAACCAATTACTTAACTCTTTTACGACACTACTTTGCTAATACAGTTAAACAAGTCCTTTTTGGCATATTGTCGTCGCCCAATCAGACGAAATGTCAGCCCTTAGACCTGTTTATTAAACGACAATTTTATTACACTTTATTTAGCCGTTTTATAAATAAATACTTTTACTGCAAAGCCGCATTTTTTAAGAAAATATAACCCGTATCGGTTAATTTCCGATCCAAGGAAGAAATTAGGTTTTGAATGTTTGCTAATGGACAAAATCATTAACACGCAAATCGCAAGACATTGTTTTCCTATTAGGGGTTTTCCTCGACAAGGAAAAAAAAATTCGTACTTGGTTACAAATAAGCTCTTTTATTCAATTATATAACTTTTATTTATAATTGTTAATAAAAATAAGAAAAAAATTCTTATTTAATATCTACATCCATTACATCCGAGACGTTACTATTGTGCTAAACCGGCGGGATACTTATTGGGTCCGCTTTCACTCGCGGGTTAAATTATTGAAACGCGTTTGAGGTTTGACGTTGACCGACTTGCAGACCAACGCCCACCATCTCTAACTATTAGCCCAATTTGCAAACTATGTACCGTCAGGACATGAACAGGCCATGAAACATCCGCTGACATGACCTAAGCTGACCCACTCTAAAAACGGAACGGAAACCGACCATTGGAAAGAAGAACTGCGACCTTATCAAAAGAATTAACTGAGGTTCCGACAGCTTGTACTCACAAAGGAACAGATTATTATATGGCCCGAAACTGGAGATTGACATCAAACTCTCAAATGGAAACAATAAAAGTGAACGTTTTCGAAGAATATTTATTTAGAAATCCTGAGATGCGGTCTGGTGTGATGTAGGTTTTAGAAAAACCTTTTCTTTATCGTGCCAACGTTTCGATCTTTATTGAGATCATCTTCAAGGTTCAAAGTGTTTGTTTTCTATGTAATTGTGCCATTCTTGTGTGTCGTGTCGAGAGTGCCCTGAAGATGATCTCAATAAAGATCGAAACGTTGGCACGATAAAGAAAAGGTTTTTCTGAAACCTACAGCATACCAGACAGCATCTCACGATTTCTAAATAAATATCGATTAACGGTCACTAATCACCACACACACACGTTTTCGAAGAAGTTTGTTAGGAAAATTAAAAATGCTCTCTGGTGATGACGATGAAAGGAGACTAATAAGTACGTGTTTATGTTCTCCAAGCACTGCAGGTAGTTCATTTGTTCAATCGGTCGATTCTTTTAAGGAGTACTAAGACACTGACTGTCGATGCTACAGTGCCTGTTCCTGGGCTAACTTTGTATCCAGCTTGTATCTCCATTGAGTGGTTGCTACACAATAAAAGATGATGTGGGTGACTTGTCTACCTCCTCATTGCATAATCTACAAATGGGATCATCTTTGAATATGCCAATGTGGTCTCAGAATCCAGTGACACTTTAATAGTCATATCAATCTTCCGGATGTAAATCTTATTGTACCAATGGGTTTACAAGAATGTGAACATTTGTTTATTCTATAATATTATTGTAAAATTAATCGTTGGTCTAATAAGACCAGTTTTAATAAATAAATTCAATTTAAAAAAAAATCAAACTTCCGAGTTTAGCCCTCTGTAACTGTAGCATTGAGTTTGCTTGGTGTGGGTTATTTTAGCATACATTTGCATTATCTACTGCTTCTAGGGTTTATCTATTAAGCCTTTTAGTTTTTTAGTTATTCTGTGATGGAGGGTCCTCGGCATTCTCTCTGGTACGTTGCTTCCCATATACTCGGTTGTTCTAAAAAAGCCAATGAGTATCTTTAACGTCCGCACCTAGCCTATTCGGCCTTATCGGACGCTTAGATTCTCAAGATGAGAGCTGACTCACCTCCGCAAACGACAGAATGGTGTTACTACCGCAGCGTTGGTGTAGAGGCAGCTCAGACCTGAGGAGCCAAGGCAACCTCGCTCCCCGTTTGCCCATTCTGAGTGGTCGGATCCGCATTAAGTATCGAACCGTATGAGCAAAGGGCTACCTAAGCCGAAATACATCAGCCTGTTTCCTGCGCACTCACTAGATAGAGAAGGCCACTCCACCTTCCAGAGTAGTGGGGTTCCCTAGCATAGAAACTACCGGATCGTCTACGCCCACGGTTTTGTTAAAAGTGGAATTGCTAACCATCCCCTAGAGGAGACCGCCTACGGTAAGAGCCTCCAATCGAGCTTAGGCTCCACCTGCGTGCAAAGCATACTCGAATAGGAACAACCAATTCTCTACCCGTTCCTGTCAGCCACTACTCCTGTCAGCATTCCAGGAACTTAGCAGCGTAATCATAGCGTCCTCAACGCTTATACGCTGCCGTCCGATCCGCCGTATCCCGTGAGGCCGGGTGTATAACGGTGGTCATGCGCAAGTTTCGTGCGAAGGTCACAGATAGAAGACAGCCTCTTCTCTAAGTACCCGCCAGAGGTATCGTCACGGCCAACTACGATTCCATTCCCAGTGTAGCAGGGGCTGAACCTTGGAACATTTCTGTTACCCCGTAGTACAGGTGGTTATGCACCCTCCTCTATGCAGACAGGATCTGGTACCGTAACCCTCGTTTGCCTCTGATAAGGCACCCGCCGCGCCATGCCGACCCGAGGCCTGTACGATTACTATACGCCTATACACCTTAGAGAGGTTGCCACGCCTCAGGGCTACACCATATTCTGCGCCTGGACACCCCCGTTGTAACCAAGGGTTGGGAGGGGTCACAGGAAACAACGAAGGAACCTGGAGTGAGAAAGGATGTGGATGAGGACACAAGGTACCTTTCTTGAGCCCCGAGCCTTAATTGTACCGCCCGTCGTATGGCTCTCTGGTGCAATAGGAAAACCATTTTTCACAGAATATTTAGGGAATAAGAAGATAGTGATAGAAAGTTTAACCAAACGTTTGAATAGAAAATGTCGCTGGTCATTCAGGCCATCCTCAAACATGGATTTTTACAAACTAATAAAAGGATTGGGTCCAAGTTCTTAAAATGTAAATGGATTATCTGTCGGCTTGACTTGTCAGACTCCATTCAGAAGATGGTGACCGACCAGAAAACAGACCAAAATGATCTCTAACGATTCATCTCCTCCTAGACCACATAGAGAAATCTGACCAAACATGATTTTTTTAAAAATATTATTCGCAAGAAAAAACAATAATAAAAAAAATTAGCTGGTGATACTTCGCCATATGTTACGCCGTGTATTTCATGTTTTCTTACATTTCAACAAATTTAAATTATTCTTTAATAGATGGATTTACTTTATGTTTATAGATTTTTAAGGTTTTAAAATGAGTTTTTTTTATAATTCATTATGATTTGTGGGGAGGCATTCGTCTAACGAATACGTAATCTGAATTGTCTAAAGTTGTTACAATTGGGCACAGCGTCAAGAAACTCTTCGCTTTTATACCGCGTTATACGGCTTGTAACAGAAAATCGTTAAAAAAACAACGCACTTATTAAATCCAAGCATACATTCATATTTTCAATAGGATTTGTATGTAATAGATAAAAAAAAACGCTGATAAAAAGAGCGTATTTATTTAAGTAAATTTTATTCTCAATCCCTCCATCAATTCACCTCGTTCAGTACCAACTGATAATTCAGCCTAATTCTGCAATGTGCTAATTAAAACATTCCATAAATTGAAATAATACAAAATTCAAACAAAATTTTACAAGGTTTTCAAGAAAGAATAATTTTAAAACATTGTTTGCTAAACACAATAAATGAATGTACGACCGCATATTTTCCGACTTTCACTCTTATAAAAATATTTTATCTGTTTTTATCATGTTTACTGTTTGTGAATGCTTAATTGAGAAGTTAAAACAGGTTAATTAATAACCGGCTATAAAATACGTGTATCGTCGCTTTATTATTTAAATGGGACAAACACTGTGATAGTTATGGTTCGTCTAATAAAATAATCTCTGCTTTATGAATTATTATTTGCTACAACATATGTTATAATTGTATACTTTAAATACAATAAAATGATATGAAAAAATATAGAATCAGAAAAAATTTATGTGGCTGTGGATTACATTACACTAGACGCAAGCTTTCAAGCGTATTCACACAACTAAACACAAGTTATAAGAACTGGTTAGAGCTTTCAGTTACACAAAATGTCTAGAAAGGTTTGTGGACGGCTTACGGCGGCAGAAAAGATTCGTCAGATGTACCTTAAAAACACGTCTGCCAAGACGCCTCACCTCTCGAACCATGAGATAGCTGAAACCAGGAAACTCTTCACATACTTTGACAGGAACAAGGACAGCCATCTTGACCAGAAAGAGTACAGTGACTTGATAGCCTACGAGACGTCCAACCGCTTAAGTGAAAACGGCCTAAAAACTGTGAGCATTACCAAACTTTCCTAGTTACATCATTAGTATTATTGTATTTATAGTAGTAGTTTTAGTAAGATAGTATGAATAATTCTGAACTGTGGGAGAAAAACTGGATAAAACATATTTCGAGTAAGTCATAGGGCCGACAGACTGTGTATAATAGGTAAAGTCGAGAATTTAAACGCAAATTTTTTAAACATGCTGAAAAGTTACGCCAATATTTTGATCATACTACTTGTCTGTTTGTAAACTCCAACAACTCATAAACCTTTTTAATAGGTGATTATTTGGAGATCGTGACATGCGGTCTGGTGTGACGTAGGTTTGGAAAACCATTTTCTTTATCGTGCAAACGTTTCGATCTTTATTGAGATCATCTTTAGATCCTGGGATTTATAAACATTGTTCAAATATACAAATACATGTAGGACATGGATTTATACAATGATAGTTTAAATAGTTTAAACTTAAAGTATTTGTACTCCCTCAAAGTGTTTGTTTTCTGTGTAGATGTGTCATTTATTGATACTGGTGGCATTGAGCTCCGTGCAGTACGAGTTGTACACCGCGAAATTTCCCGATCGCCCCAGAGTAAACCACAAAACTTTTTTCGTGTTGTTCGCAATATGAGGTGATACGGATCACTTGCTGCTCCATCACCAAGAAACCGGCAGCTGATTTCGACGAGGAGCTGAATATTTTACTGTATACTCGCGAAAATCCCAATTCCTCTTTCTCAAATGTTAGGAGGGTTTTAGGTTTTTCATAGTAATAAAATTAGAGGTACAGTCTCATTTTGTCCGAGGGGTTTGGAGCTGATTATGAGAGGCGTTTTTAAACGTTCCCTGCACAAATATCGATTTGGGATGCTGAAGAAAACGTCCTTCTGTACCTATGGACTGACAAAACCATGTTTACCTCTAATGGCATACTAAATCGTTTGAATTTTCGAAGGAGGCAGAGGAAAATTCGAGAATTTTGTATTCTTGTCATCATCATGTGGTTCATAGTATCAATTTGGTGTGAACCTCTCGGAAATAAGTGGATTGGGCAGTATTTGTAGGAAAGCAATTTAAATAGTGCTCAGTTCTGCAATTTTTTAAGGAAAGTTTTACCAACTCTAATAGATGATGTTTCTCAGGGTTTTAGGTTTTAGGTTTTTCAAAGTAATAAAATTAGTAGTCTATTGATAGTCTCATCTTGTCCGAGATGTACCCAATTCAATCTAAGTAAAGGGTACAAAAACAAGAATATAGCTATCATGTCAGACAGCCAAGCAGCCATCAAAGCACTCAAGTACCATTAGTTCAAGGATGGTGCTGAACTGCAAAACCAAATTAAACATATTAGGTATGCAGAATAAAGTCAGCCTCTGCTGGGTCCCTGGACACATGGGCGTAGAAGGCAACGAGAAAACGGACACCCTTGCAAGAAAAGGGGATGCTACACCGCTGATAGGACCTGAACCTTTCTGCGGCATAGGAATCCACACTATTAACGAATATCTCAGACAGAAGGACAAAAAGAAAATGAAGGAACAATGGAATCCACTCATTGGACATAGACAATCCAAAAATTGTCTAAACAATTTTGGTAGAAAAGAAATCACAGAATGTGTCAAAGGAAGCAGCAACAGACTGCGAATCCTAACAATTCCTAACAGGGCACTGCAGATTAAATGGACACTTAAAGAAAATTGGAACAATCCAAGATGGCACATGCAGATTCTGCAAGGAGGCAGAAGAGACACCAAAACATTTACTAACAAACTGCGGAGCTACCTTAGCCCGCAGGAGGAAATGTTTTGTAATGTATAATGTGACCATAGAAGAGCTTCAACCACTGAAGCCTGGCCTATTAATCAAGTTTCTTGATGAAATAGGACTCACCGATGTGCTTTAGGCAGAGTACGGGGGATACAATAGCTCTTAAAGGGCCCAGTATATTACACTCCGAATATTACATCTACATCTACATCTACATAGTCTCATCTTGTCCGAGAGGTTTGGGGCTAATTACGAGAGGCGTTTTTAAACGTTCCCTGCATAAATATCGATTTGGGAAGTCCTTCCATACATCCTATGGACTGATAAAATCATGTTCACCTCTAATGGCATACTAACAGTTTTCGAAGCTGGGCGGAGGAAAATCCGAGAATTTCGTACTCTTGTCATCATCAGGTGGTTCACGGAATCAATGTTTGGTGTTTTTAGGAAAATTATTTAGATGCTGCCCAGTTCCTCAATTTTTTGAGGGAGGTTTTTCCATCACCATTAGATGATGTTCCTCTGCAACAACGACAAAGAACGATTCTTCAGCTTGACGGATGCCACGAACACAATTCTTTGCATCTTAGACGTTATTTGAATCCTCACATACGGTATAGGTAGATAGGACCTCATGGCCAGATCTATTGGCTCCTCGGTCATCCGATTTAACTCCACTTGACTATTTTCTGTGGGGTCATTTAAAAAATCAGTTGAAGAACTGCGGCAAAGGACAGAAAATTCTTGTCAATCCATGTCCCCTGAGTAGCTCAATCAAGGTATTCATACTCACTCAAAGTGTTTGTGCTTTTGGGCAGATATGTCGAGTTGAGAGTGGCTGGGGCAAACCTACGGCACACCAAACCGCATCTCAGGATCTGCAAATAATCATTAATTAACGGTTACTAAACACCATATCTTTCTAATAGGACAATTTCATCGAATTTGTTGAAATGTGAGCACAAACATAACTCCATTTGAACCAATTGCAGTCCAGAATTCTTTTTTAACTCATCCAGTTTTACCTCGAGGGTGCTGAATAGTCCCACTGTCTAGCTATATTTTTTTATACATAAATTACTGTCAAATTTATTTTTTCTTATTTGATGGTTTAGTTTTTCGAGTATTTAACTTGAAGATGATAATCGAGCTTTTCAAAAATTATATAATCGAATAAAAATATTTTGTTATAATAATAACTAACAAATGGGCTTGTTTTTTAAATACTTACACTCCTAGATATGATATGACCTTTGTTTTTTGAACCCTCGTAAAAATAAAATAAAACTGGCCAGTGCTATTTTCCTGGAATTCTTCTTCTTAATTAATTTTTGAAATCTAATTTTGGGTTTCATTTTTGGTAATATTCGTTAAGCAAATTGGAATTGCATTTAGCGAGAACAAAGCTTGTTAAATTTTAAGAGTTTAGGCTAGATTTTCGAAATTATTGACATTTTGCAAAGCTATAATAGAAATTTTGAGGTAACTTTTTGTCCTTGAATTAATTTAATCATTTATCTAAGCGAGTTAGTTAAAAAAATGTGTTTTTACTGAAATAAAATTGGCGAAGTACGGCACGAAATTCGGGTTCGTTAACGATAAATTGTTACGATGAAAAGCAATTCTTAAATCCTTCAAATACCCAAAAGGGTTCCAGGACGGGTTTCGGACCATTTACAAAGTCGCTTGTTCGAATCACATTATCAAAGAAAATTGCTGGGTGGGACGTGACCGCACGAATCTTGAACACCCTAACGATGACCCGTCTTCTTCATAACGTGTTTCCGCCTTGAGTAAAATCTTCTTAAGCGCCTAAAGACATTCGATCTTGACCGCCATTGTCGCAAGAATACAGCTGTGGAATATAATTTTAAGACCGTATGAAATTATCTTCTTTTAACGATACTATTATCTTCTCTATATTTTCCCATAAAATATTTTTTTCGTGTTTGGATGCACCAAAAACGATTATTATTACAATATTTAAACAGATATATTTTATTATTCTTTGTTCTGGATACAGTTACCATACAGGTCATTAGGTATGCATGATGTTAGCAAAATTAAAAACTACTGTAAACCAAGTTAAAAGTAAAATAGAAGATATAATATGCCCGAACAATTTTCTGTTTATCTTTTTTTATTTAGGTGTTTGCAAGCAGCGACTACAATTCTGACGGTTTGATATCCGAAGACGAGTTCTTGGCGTATCGCGGCCGTCTCAGGAAATGGCAGCCGTCCATGTTCGAGATCAGCAATCTATTCTACGCCTGCGACAAAAACGAGGACCGTAAAATGTCCTTCGAAGAGTTCAAAGTGTTCTGGAGAGAACTGGGGGAAGACACGTCGAGGATGGACTTGAAAAAGATATTCAGCCGTTTCGATCGCAATAAGGACAACAACATAACCAAAGACGAGCTATTGCGACTTGTTTCTGAAAATCTCAAAAGACCCTTTTCACAAAGAAAATTCAGAAACATACATTTAGAATTCCTTGAATAAAATAAGTGTCTTATATTTGTTTGTTATTTTAGCTTTTAACGTCACGATGAAAGATGCAGTAGTTTTTAATTTTGTGTTATACATAAAACATAACAAATAATGTAGTCTAGGTATGTTTTCCGGAAGATAATGCCTGCCGTTTTATTTCAGATATTCGACAGCATCGACCAGAATAACGACAAGATGATTTCACTGAACGAATTTTTAGAATACAAGTGCCGACTCTTCCGCCCGCCCAGGCAGCACGCCCTGAAAGCCATTTTCAAAAGATACGACAAGAACAAAGACGGGCTCATCAATCAGGAAGATCTTCGGATCTGTTGGATCGAGCTCGGTGAAGATCCTTTCGTCCGAAATTTCAACCTGTGGTTCGAACAAGAAGACAAAAACAAAGACGGCCTCATCAATGTACACGAATTTGAATCTTTTGTCAGTAAAAATTTTTGGAAGCAGAGAAGCTCCGGAAAACCTTGAGTTATTTGCCATGTCTTTCTCTTGATTCCAATTTGTCCTTTTTTTGCACAATAAAACACATACAAACCCGATATCATATCATAATTACTCACTACATCAACGGCGTAATGCATGCTCACAAGGAAAAACATATACATAACATAGGCATCGTTAAATCTACTCGAACCGAATGTCAGTTGTGTTTAAATTTAATGTTGGCAGGTGGCCAATTATTTTTATTTGCCTGTAAAAAATTGCGTGGTTAGGGAAAATCGAGAGATGGATGTTGCGTAATAGGAGAATTGAAGTGGTGAGCGAGTATTGTTATCTGGGAGTAACTCCTATCCCAAAACTGTCGATGGTCAAACATGTAAAGAAGAAAGCCCTGACAGCGAAACTGGCTATACATAAGGTTTGGTCTGGCTTATTTTCAAACGACCTTGTACCAATAAAAAGTAAATAGCCAATTTTCACAGCCGTTTGTCGAGCAATTCTTTGCTATGCAGGTCAAGTTTGGGGCTATCGCGAATATGAAGAGATAGAAAAAGTTCACCGTTTTTTTGTTCGCAAGTTGTTTGCCCTGCCATCATAAACTCCTAATTGTATGTTGTATATTGAGACTGGCATAGAACTGTTGTTTGTTTATTCTTTAAGGTTACATTTTAAATTTATTGTGAAATCGCTTGAAGCTCCTGATTCTCGCCTGGCAAAAATTTCATCACTTGAAGTTGTTAAGAGTAACATATCCTGGTTCAAATCCTGGAATTCTCTTGTGGCTCGGTTCTCTTTGGATAGTTCTGTAGCGTGGTCTGAAATGTTTTCCAATCTTCTTCATATTATGGGGGCTCGTCATCGAGAGAGTTGTATTTCTCGTGCCGTGGCTTCAAATAGATTCCAACTCAACAAGGAGTTGGATCATTCCCCAACTCCTTGCAATGTTTTTTCTGCTCCAGCAAATGATGCTCCGTTCTCTTTTTTCCGATGGGGGTTTAAAATTCGAGGGGAGTTGTTCCTGAATTTTTCAGGCCTTGGGTTGGGGCTATGCAACTCAGGTGATCGTGAGGATGCATTTCATGCTCGGTCCTGAACGAATTGAGGTATCTGTATATGGGTAAGGGTTTTCTGACGAGGGAAGAGCTCGTAGCCCTTCTGAAAGGCTCGGATTGCCGGGGTCTTGTTGATTTTGCACGGAAAGCTTGGTTTTATAGATATGAATACATTGGAATGTAGGGAATTAATATTCTGTTCGACTTATTTTGTTTCCTTTTTTTGCTCTCGCAGGTAATACATATAATTTATACTTTGTGGGCTTCTAAATGCGAATTCTGTTTTCCTGTGGGGGACCCTTTGTGAGTTGGAATCCTTGCTTTTGTTCTTTGAAGTGTCATTTTTATTATTTTCAAAGTTTATCGCATTTCAACCTTGTAATTTGAAAATCCTGTAACCTCTGAAGTTGATATTTTAAATTCTCCTTTTCTTATAATTATATAATTATGCATATTCTTGGAATAGTAATGCACTCCGAACTCTGGCTGACGGTCTTAATACCATGCCATAATAATACTGTTTTTTATTTTTAACTCTAATTTTTTTTCATTTTGTAAATAAAGTATATCCATCTATCTATCATTGCGTGACGGATAACAAGTTTGTCTGGAAGGTGCTAATGCCATAGTTGAAGTACTTTCCACGTTTCTTTAGTGCTGGAATATCTAAATATAAGAAAATAATTCAAATATGTGCCAAAAAACTATCAGATTATTGTGGCAGGCCAGAAAGAGGCAAGGCCAAATGGCAAAGCATTTTTGGAAATGGGATACAGTCTCAATGTATACTGGACGAGGGCTTGCTTGTTGCTGCTGCAGCTGTATAATAGTCGAGCAAGCGATACAAGTCAATTAACGACATCGCTTTCTCATTCGAAAACTCCAGTTTTTCCACAATGCGTATATTATTAAATAAACAAGTGTACTGCCGGAGGCCAATGGCCCGTCCACATTGCCACGTTGCTTCCTTTGATTTTGACCGACACTAGTTGGGTTCCAGTTGGCACTTGGTATAATGAGGACCGAGCTTAACGTTGTCCCCTCCATCAAAGGGGACCACGGTGCCAGACTGGTTAGGTTGTCCGACTAGTATTTCCCACGTTAGCGATTCTAGGTACGGATCTCGTCAGAACTGATAGATTCTTTTTAAAAAAGATAGTTCCTACTCAAAGTAAGTTGTTTTGCAACGACCGGATTTCGACCCTTTCAGCTCATCATCAGGTTGAAGGACTTCTACAACCACGTCTCTCGACATGAATTGCCAAAGTGAACCCGCAGATACCTCCGCCAACGCGACGTTCCAATTAGCAGCTGATTTTTTTAATGGCGCTTTATTTGAACGTGCGAAACGCGGAAATTATAACACAAATAAATATTACACTAGTAAATACGTAATATTATTAAATTACTATAAAAATAATAACAATTAATTATTTGGATGTTTGATATTATTAACGAATTTATCACCATGTTCAATTTGAATTGAAATTATGTTTTGCTTCGTTTAGATGGTCCTTAAATTCTGAAAATTTGCTCGATTTAGGCAAGTGTTCTTTTACTCTTGTTTCTATTTCTCTACCGCTTTGTCCTATATATTTAATATCACAATCATTACATTTGAGTTGGTAAACCCCGCTTTTTGCCAAGTTGTCTACTTTGTGTTTAGGTTTTAAGAGGATGTTTTTAAGTGAACCCGTACTTCTAAAAGCTATTCTAAAACCTTCTTGTTTAAAAATTTTACAAACTTTTTCCGATAATTCACCAATGTATGGCAAACAACGGAAACCTAAGGATTCATTTGTGGTGGGGTGGGTGAGTCCTATTGAAAGTTAATTTTTTTGTTCTTTTAACTAGCAACCTATCAATAAATATTTCTTGATACCCGTTGTTTTTTGCTAAGGTTTTAATAGTTTTTAATTCTTTTTTATAGTTATCAGGTTTTAGCGGAAGTTATAACATCCGGTTTATGAGCTAAATGAAACCAGCAGTCTTTTGGGACCATGGGTGGGAAGAATCCGCTGGTATCATAGTTTCTGTAGTTGTGGGTTTTCTATATACGTCTATTTCTATTAGGTTGTTTATTATGGACATTTTTAGGTCTAAAAAGTTCAAACTACCAACTTTTCCAATTTTCAATGTAAAATTTATATTATGGTGAAGAGAATTAATTAGTTGGAGGAATTATTTGAGAGCCTCTAATGTTCCCGACCATAACACACCCGAACATTAGAAAACCGAAACTACGGCAAAGAATAGAAAATGCTTAACAATCTATCTCCCCTGAGTCTATTGCTCTGAGCACCGATGAAGAATGTTTAAAAAGAGCAAATCTTTCCATCTTTAGGAAGACAGGCAATTCGAACATGAAATTGATTAATAAATAGAAAACCAAATGACGATTTGTTATTAATTTGTCTTTTTTTGGCTTTTTAAAATCCAATCGCACCATTTTTCAGCGTAAACAAATCCTTTAAAATAATGGGTCAGGATGTATATAGTCGTATTTGAAATTTAGAAGTTGAACTGAACTTGACGTACTCTCAAAAAAAGGTAAAAATTTGAAACTAGTAAAAATACTCAACACGTATTTTTTATATATAGCGACATTGGTTAGATATAATAAGAATGGACATAATCCAATAAAAATACAGTCGATATAACTCTTCCATGTCTTCCAGGGGATTCGACTAACTGTATAAATATTTTTATGTCTATTATACAACTAATTAATATCATAAATCATTATTTTCTTAAAATTATCCTTTAAAAAAATTTAATCGCATCTTTACGCAAGACAGGCAGTTCGAACATCAAATTGATTAGCAAATAGCAAAATAAATGATTGTTTTTTTCCAAACGTTTGGCGATAACCTGGTCATTTTTTGACTAATTTAAAGGCAGATTATAAAATCTTTTAAAATAATGTGTCAGTATTTATAAGGCCCTGTTTCAAATTTTGAAGTTGATTCTTGTCTGCAAAATATTAAATACATTTTTTTTGTTAACAGCATCATTGATTGAATAGAATTTCAGCCAGGCCATCTAAAAAGAACACCCTGTATAATATAGTTACTACAAATACATGCAATACACACTCAACAATATTATAAAATACAAAAACAATAAAAACCAACATAAAATCAATAACTCTAAAATTACAATATAAAGTATTTCATATAAATAAAAATAAGTAATAAATATAACAAACATTTTGCTCACATAGAAATGCGTGGTGATTAGTGACCGTTAATCGATAATTATTCAGAAATCGTGAGATGCGGTCTGGTGTGATAGGTTTCAGAAAAACATTTTCTTTATCGTGCCAACGTTTCGATCTTTATTGAGATCATCTTCAGGGCCTTGTGTTTTCTGCATTTCAGTAAAAAAGTTCTCTGGTTGATAGCCGATGCGAGTTTCTTCTCACTGTTGGCAATGTCCTTCAGTATACTTTTAGCTGCGTGTCCATATGTAGTTGAAATTTGTTCAAAGAATCCCATGTTTTTCGTTCTTCTCATG